GTTGGTTCACACTCCAATGGCTGCTGCGGCTGGCGCACTGTGGCCAGCGCACCTGCTGATCCGATGGCAGGAGCCAGGTACTTCTGGTCTCCCATGGGGTGCAGGGCCCAAGCACTTGGGCCATCCTCCACTGCACTCCCTGGCCACAGCAGAGAGCTGGCCTGGAAGAGGGGCAACCGGGACAGAATCCGGCACCCCGACCGGGACTAGAACCCGGTGTGCCAGCGCTGCAAGGCGGAGGATTAGCCTACTGAGCCGCGGCGCCGGCCAAAGTCCATTAACATTTAATGTGACTATTGATACATAGTGACTTTGCCTTGCCATTTTCCCGGAGATATTTTCTAGTATATGCTTTGAGCTTCCCATGCTCTTTTACTGGTAGGTTTTCTTCCTTTACCTTTTTTCATATTGATGGTCGTGTTTCTGTGTTTCTGAGTGTAGCACACCTTTAAACATCTTTTGCAGGGCCGGACAAGTGGCGGCAAAGTCTTTAAATTTCTGTTTGCTATGAAAGGTCTTTATTTCACCTTCATTCACAAATGAGAGCTTAGCAGGATATAATATTCTGGGCTGGCAATTTTTCTCTCTTAGCACCTGTGCTATGTCTCGCCATTCCCTCCTAGCCTGTAGTGTTTCTGATGAGAAGTCTGCTGTGAGTCTGATTGGAGATCCTCGGAGAGTAATCTGATGTTTCTCTCTTGCACATTTTAGGATCTTTTCTTTATGTTTCACTGTGGTGAGTTTAATTACAGCATGTCGTGGTGAGGATCTCTTTTGGTCATGTTTATTAGGGGTTCTATGAGCTTCCTGTACTAGGATGTCTCTGTCCTTCTCCAAACCTGGGAAGTTCTCTGCTAGTATCTCACTAAAAAGGCCTTCTAATCCTTTCTCTCTCTCCATGCCTCCAGGAACTCCTAGAACTCGAATGTTGGTTTTTTTAATAGTATCTTGTAGATTCCCAACGATATTTTTTAGATTTCTAATTTCCTCTTCTTTTCTTTGGTTTGACTGTATGTTTTCCTGTGCTCTGTCTTCTAAGTCCGATATTCTCTCTTCTGTTTCACTGACTCTGTTTTTTAGACTTTCTAATGTGTTTGTCATTTGATCTATTGAGCTCTTCATTTCATTTTGATTTCTCTTCACTATCACACTTTCCTGTTCTACTAGTTTCTGTGTTTCATTTTGATTCTTCCTTAAAATTTCATTTTCACGAGAGAGATTTTCAATCCTGTCCAATAAGGATTTCTGTAGTTCAAGGATTTGCTTTTGAAAACTTATAAATGTTCTTATCATAAATTTTTTGAAATCCATATCTTGCATTTCTTCTATCTCATCATCTTCATAATCTTGACTTGGGGTGTTTTGTTTATTTGGAGGCATCATAGTGTCATCGTTGATCTTGTTCACTCGATTTTTGTGTTTGTTGCTTGGCATTGTTAATTCTTCTTCCCTCACTGTGATTTTTTTTTAAAACTGTGTCTGTGTTAAGTGGACTGTCTGTTGTTGGAGGAGCCTTGGAGGCTTGAGATGGGTGTGGCCTGAGAGCTCTGCTTGGTTCTTCCGGGTTATGGGTGTGCAAATGTGACACCCTCAGGTTATGCGTGGTAAATCTCTCTCTTTTTATTTATTTGTTTATTTTATTTTTTTATTCAGGAGGTAAGTAATACCGCACAGCTGAGCAGAATTGATGGTATTTAGCTTCCGATCTCTGGGTTCCACCCAAAGAGTCTGTGCGGGCTCAGTTTCTCCTGCGGACTTCCACTGGGTTGCCTAGGCTACTGAATTGTAGCAACTCAGGTCCTTAGCTCTCCCCTGTTGTTATGTATATCCAGAGTGGGTCCTGCTCTTTGTCTCTTACTTGCCTTTGCAAGGTTGGAGGAGAGAGAAACTTGTCTGTACCAGTACCCCCCCCCTTTTTTTTCCTTCTCTCCTGTAGTCAGTCTGGTGAACTTTCCCGTTCCCATCTAGATTCTGACCGCCGTTTATCCGCCAATGTCTCCAGTTACTGAGCTCACCTCCCCTTCCAGCGCCGATATTTGGATTTGGAGCCCTGGGTGTCCCTGCTCTCCCCGCTGGTCGTCTGTGTCACATCCACTCCCCTTCCCACACTGGCGCGCAGACCCTGCGTCTCCCGTGGCTTGGCTTCTGCGCCGTGGGCAACCTTGCTCTCCCCATAGGTCCTCCGAGTCACAGCCACTAGATCCAGAAGAGTTTCTTCTGCAATTTTTTCCTGATCCTTTTTCTGAGGCTACCGTAACTCCACTTTTATTAAACTAAATTTTCCCGGACTATCGGTGCACACCCTCACTATTCTGCCATCTTGGTTTTATAAATCTTAAAGTAAAAAATAAGAACTCTTGCTGCCAGCATTGTGGCTTAGCTGGTACAGCCGCCACCTGTTATACCAGCATCTTATATGGATGCTCATTGGAAGCTACACTTCCAATCCAGCTCTCTGCTAATGCACTTGGGAGGGCAGCACAAGATAGCCCAAGTGCTTGGGCTCCTGCACCTACGTGGGACAGCCAGAAGAGGCTCCTGGCTCCTGGCTTCGGCCTGGCACCGAATGGCTATTGTGGCCATTTGAGGAGTGAAGTATTGTATGAAAGATCTCTCTCTTTCTCTTTCTCTCCCTCTCATTCTGTAACTCTGTCTTTAAAATAAATAAAATGTGGTTTTTTTTGACAGGCAGAGTGGACAGTGAGAGAGAGAGACAGAGAGAAAGGTCTTCCTTTTGCCATTGGTTCACCCTCCAATGGCCACCAAGGCCGGCGTGCTGTGGCCGGCACACTGTGCTGATCCAAAGGCAGAAGCCAGGTTCTTCTCCTGGTCTCCCCTGGGGTGCAGGGCCCAAGCACTTGGGGCAACCTCCACTGCACTCCCTGGCCACAACAGAGAGCTGGACTGGAAGAGGAGCAACCTGGACAGAATCTGGCGCCCCGACCGGGACTAGAACCCGGTGTGCCGGCGCTACGGCTCAATAGGCTAATCCTCCACAGCGCCGGCCAGTAAAATGTTTTAAAAAGGAACCTTTAACCATTCAAAGAAATCCTCAAAGAGAAAGAAAAAGAATCTTGCAGACCCACAGTACACACTGCCCTAAAGCCTTGACTGAAATTCTTGTTGAAGTTTGCTGATAAAGTGTTCATCAGTAATGACACATACTGACTTGTGTGAAATGAGCTCATAGATATTCTTGAAACTATGTAAAAATCACTTCTGCTAGTTTTTACACATTGTGATTGTTATGTTCCTGAGCTACTCTAGAGCTGTTGGGGTAGATACGTTATTACTGGCAAAGTGGTCACACTGCACAGTTCACATGGGCACCGTGACACTCTGTGAGTGGCATTCCCAGGGCTAGTGCTGTGCACACCTGGGAGGCTTTGCCCACAGGTGGTGTGCTGTCTGCACAATGTCTGCATGATGGTTCTCCCTTCATTTAGATGGCTGGTAGGGTTTCATTAGAACACAATCCCTCAACTTGTGACTTTTCAATATTGCTCACTCACATGTTTTTGAGTCCCCTTGTGGGGGGGGCAATCGGGGCCCTGAGGGGTTGCCCACTTTTCTAGAGACAAGGACAGGCCTAACCTTGCCTCTTGGAACTTTCTCTGAGTTATAAACCTCTTAGAGTTATTATAAAATCTTGGGCTATTTTATTTAATGGTATATCTTTAAGCAGAGGTATCTTATAAACATAGTGCAGCAATAATAAACTTATTTTCATTATTTTTTTTATTAAGGATGAGGGAGCAAAGCATTGCTGGTTAGTGTACCTGGTGCTTAATGTAGAATCTGGAGGTAGAGATGGTGTTTTCTTACTTATAAAGTTCATATTTCCAGTTATTGCCAAGAGTTAAACACTAGAATTAGGTCTAGGCTGTGGTTCTAGTTGGTATGCCTCTGTTTTAAATTTCATCACGCAGCTGCTTGGCATCAAGATTTCCAGCTTTCCAAAGCTGGCCACAAATTTGAAGCAAGCGTCTAAACCAGGTGTTAGAGGAAAAGATAGAGCAGTGGTAACGATGATGCTACATGAATTATTTGTGTGATATCTGACATCTTATCACCTAGTTGAACTACCTTTTTGTTTTCTTGTTTTCTGCAATAAAAATCATTCAGACTTACCAAAATTATACATTTTGATTCTTCCCACATATGAGACAATCTATTTTCTGAGTCATTGGGCCTCTAAAATTCTGTGGGAATGGGCTAGTATTTTTTTTTTATTTTTTTGACAGGCAGAGTGGACAGTGAGAGAGAGAGACAGAGAGAAAGGTCTTCCTTTGCCATTGGTTCACCCTCCAATGGCCGCCATGGCCAGTGCGCTGCGGCCAGCACACTGCGCTGATCCAATGGCAGGAGCCAGGTACTTATCCTGGTCTCCCATGGGGTGCAGGACCCAAGCACATGGGCTATCCTCCCTGGTCACTCCCTGGTCACAGCAGAGAGCTGGCCTGGAAGAGGGGCAACCGGGACAGAATCTGGTGCCCCAACCGGGACTAGAACCCGGTGTGCCAGTGCCGCAAGGTGGAGGATTAGCCTAGTGAGCCGTGGTGCCGGCTATGGGCTAGTATTGTGGTGCAATGGGTTAAGCCACCAGTTCTAATGCCAGCATCCCATACTTGTTTTCCTTCTGTAATCCAGTATTTGAAAAACAACCACCACTCCCAATGCATGAGTCCTATAAAAGCAATTTCACATCATTTGAATGCACCTAAAGAGAAAAACTCTGTCAAATTTTATATCAAATGGTGGAATAAATTCCAAGACAAAAGTGAAACAAACAACTGACCTGTGGCTCCACTGCACTTGAGCCTGATCTCCCTGCCTACTTGGGACAGACAGCAGGAGCTCAGGAGAGGCCTGGAGCCACAGATCCTGTGGAAGCCTGCACAGGCTTGGTCTGAATCAGAGTTGATGTATGACATTGAATACTGAGTTTATAAAAAGGGTACTCAGTGCTGCTGTTTCCCTTTTCTCTTCTTGGTGTCCAGCATTGTGGAGTTCTTTGTTGGAACATGTGCTGGGCCTTGGCACTAAGCCTTAGAACAAGGAGGTGAACAGCCAAGAGCAACACCTGCAGGAAGGGCCGGGCTGCTGGTGTTGGAGGAGTGGCAGTGGATTTAACAGGAGCCTCAGTTTTGTCCATCCTCGCCTGGTGAGTCTTCTTGAAATGTTTGTGCATAACACATGCCGACCCTGGCCACAGACAGGGGACACTCAGGCCTTCAGGAGCCAGGAGAAAGGAAGAATAAATTGTGCATTATATTGAATGTTATGAATTGAATACTATATATATTATAAATTTTATTATATTTTATAAATTTCATATCATATGTTCTACATAGATTTTAAATTCTATATTGTAAAACGTATATGTGCTAAGAGGTATCACCTATGGTTCCAGAAGGAATTAGCCTACCTGGCTGAATTCTGATGCCAGGATGGGTGAAACAGCAGGTGAGTCATCTTCTTTTGGGTGAGCGATTTAGATGCCCAGCAACTCTGTTTATTTTCAGGATTCTTGTGTTATTTTCTGAATTTATAGTTCTACTTAGTGGATAGAAGCTGGGAAAATGTATCTGGTCATCCAGCAAGGAAGTTCCTGCTCACAGGCTTTGCTTCCTGGTTTCCCTAATTTACTAAGATAGTTTATCTCAGTTTGCATTGAAGGTTCTCCAATACAGCAGTAATAGTATTGACTGGGAAACCCAAAACAATGACTTAATAGATGTCCTTCCCCCACTGAATTCTAATCCTGTCTCTGTGATATCCAGTGTTTCCCTAATTTTATGAAAAAGTTCCTGAGGAATATATTGTTATATTGTGATGAATACAGTTATATGTGGAGACATATCATGTAAAATTTACATAGCCCAATCATATTAATGCATTAACTAGGCATATGGGGACTATGTGTATCATCAGAGGCAGCTAGATCCGAGGATGGCACCAAAATTTTGAGAGGGAAGCATTACTTCCTAAGTATATTTGTTGCAGTAATAAAACTATAAGATTCTGAATAACTCAATACAGGATCTTCTTACTTCTAAGTTAGATTTTGAAATATTGAAATCATTTGGATTATGATATTTTAGACCATTATTAAGTCTGAGAGGGGAGGGGCATTGTTTCTGCACAGTATCCACAATGGTTGCCATATAATTGGTTCTAAAACTTGATGAAATGAAATCCCTATTTGTCCCTGTGTTTCAAACAACACAAGATTTCAAAATCCATAGGCATTGTGTTTTGTGATTTGGTTCTTACAGTATGTGATGAATATGCGATGCTTTGGCTTTTCACTTTCATGTCTCTCAATTCAGTCCTATTTTCCACACCTTTACTCCTGTGACTACCATACAACTTTATCATCTACCACAAGAATCCTAGGCTAGCAACTACTAGTGAACTACTAATAAGTTAAAATATAGAAACTTTCTGGGAAAATTCGAAAATTAGAGTGGTTTATGCCAAACATCTTAAGATGCTTTTCCTTTGTTTAACTAAAATCAGATCTATGGGGGAAAACTAGATGGAGAGTTCGCTACACACAATGCCTTTGTTTCACCTATATACAATTTTGTTTGTGAGTTATGTAGGCCTCAATAATTATGAATGGGAAAACTAAAACTGTGATTTGCAGTTCAATATTGCAAATATTTTAGAGTTTTCTACTGAAGTGCTGTAGTGAGAGAACTTGGAGTCCAGGAAATCCTTCAAAGAATTGGTATATGTATAGTTTTCAGAGTGCCACTTTCAAAGACATTTAAAGTTTGTAAACATTTTCTTATATATCACGTTAAATTTAAAATTGTTATTCAACAAACACTGATCTCTAAGTCATTGGTAACCCCTCCTACACTAATCAAGCACCTTGCTTGATTTTCCCACCTGATAACTGTGGAAGACCACATGTGAGTGTCAAATGGGGAAAGAAAGATTTTTTTTTTAGATTTATTTATGTATTTGAAAGGCAGAGCTACAGAGAGGCAGAGGCAGAGAAGGGGAGGAGGAGGGGGATGGGGAGGGGGAGGGGGAGAGGGAGAGGGAGAGGCAGAGGGAGAGAGGGCTCTTCCATCTGCTGGTTCACTCCCCAGATGGCTGCAATGGCCAGAGCTGAGCTGATATGGAGCCAGGAGCTTCTTCTGGGTCTCCCACGTGAGTGAAAGGGCCCAACACTTGGGCCATCTTCCACTTTTCTAGGCCATAGCAGAGAGCCTGATAGGAAGTGGAGCAATGGGGACTCAAACCAGTGCTCTTATTAGATGCTGGCACTGCAGGCAGAGGCTTTACATGCTATGCCACAGTGCCGTCCCCAAGAAATATTCTTGTGGTAGACTAATGTTCATGGGCTATAGCCCTCTGCTCTGTGCAGGTAGAATTTTAATAATTCTTGCACACCACTAAATGTTTGAAGTTCATAGAGATAACATGATCAATGTAATGGGACCCACAGTTTTCCAGTGAAATACTTCATGATATCTACTGGGGTCCTGCCATTTAGGAAAAAGGGTTCTAAAGCAACCTGATTAGTGAAGACATCGCCACCTATTGATCCAGTGAAGCAAGTCCAGAGGGAGCACCTCTGACCCTGGCAAAGGCTCCACCCCTGGTGACTAAGATGCTGTAGACCTGTGCTGCAGCTCACTCCATGGGGAAGGCCCTGCCATACTGCTGTGAGCATCCTGGTTTAATATTTTGGTATTGTTGTGTTTTGGTTTGTTCTTCAACTTAAATACATGGTATCTCCATTTGGTTAATACATTTCAACTTCCAGTTTTCACAGCTAAATTTCTCTTTTTATGATTTTTATTTATATAAAATTGAACAAATATCATGTATTTCATATACACAGATTGAGGAGTGTAGTGATACTTCCCAACTTACTCTCCTCCCCCCAGCATCCTGCCCTCCTTCCTCTTTCCTTTCTTGTGATTATAAAATAAACCGAAAGAATGTCTTTGTGAACATTAAAAGAAAGTCTAAATTCTAAACCTTGACTGAACTAACTACACACTGTGTAGCTCCTAATAGGAACTGAAAGTGCAGATTGTGTTGTTTAAAAATTGTCATGCATTTAAATATGGAAAGCCTAGGAATTTAGATTGAGTTTAAGTGAGACACTACCATGGTGCCTCCCCAAACATGTGCTCTCTAAACATAATGTGCCCACACCCAACTATTGCTTTGAACCAAGGGACATAGTGAGTCAGTGAGAGCTCAAACTGTGCATGAGCCCCCTGGCTCCAAGCCCCAGCACTTGCCCCATCTTCCTGTCAGACTTCATTTACGAAGCACAAATTCAAGTGAAATCCAGTAGGAATTTGGACAGCAGGGAGTGTACTCTCTTGAGTTGGGTCCAGTTGCAGTGTCACTGGTCACATACTGATGAAGCAGGCCCTGCATTTTCAGTTCCATAGTGTAATTGGGCGAATTCTCAACCTGCCTGTAATATGTGACTATGTTACATGCACATAGGGATGTACACCCATCGGTGGGAGAATAGCATGTAGGAATTTATAATTCTCATTTCTCTTTTCACTTTCCTGGTCTCCTTCAGATACACTTCCCTTCATTTTCTATTTCTGACTTTTCAGTTTGAGAGAGGTGGGGTGACAATGTAATTTGTAACTTGGATATTGTCTTAAATATTCTCTTGATAGAATTCCCGCATCTCTATTTTCAAAGTTATAAATCTCCTGAAGTTTAGTTTAGTAAGTTCATGAATTTTTTTTAAAGATTTATTTATTTGAAAGTCAGAGTTACACAGAGAGAGAAGGAGAGGCACTCTTCAGTTGGCCACAACAGCTGGGACTCTTCCAATGTGAAGCTAGGAGTCAGGAGCTTCTTCTGGGTCTCTCACGCAGGTGCAGGGGCCCGAGGACTTGGGCAGTCTTCTGCTTTCCCAGGCTATAGCAGAGAGCTGGATTGGAAGTGGAGTAGCCGGGACTTGAACCGGTGCCAATATGGGATGCTGCCACTGCATTTGGTGGCCACACTTGTTACGTCACTGTGCCGACTCCAATCATGAATGTTTTAAAAATTATTTCTGTCCCAATGAAGTCTACCAAATCCTCACAATATTAACCTAAGTTGCTTAATTTATTTGCATTTTGAGTATAGGAACCTATTTTTGCATGTTTTATTTTTCCACACTTATTACAGTATAAATGAGGAATAAAAAATGTATATAGTCAAGGCACACAATGTGTTTTTTGATATGAGTCTGATCTTTATATTGCATTTTCACACAAACCTTTTGATTCCCCTGGTACTTACAATACACTAGGAAAGGATTAGTACAATGAAGCTACTTAACAAATTTATCACTCTTATAGTGTTTTAAAAATTTTCAAAATTTTATTTATGTATTTTACCAGAAAACTTTTATTTAATGTATGCATACTTTATGCATTCAATAAATACAACTTTAGCAGCATAGTAATTCTTCCTACCATAACCGCCCTCACACTTACACGCCTATCTTTTTTTTTTAAGAATACTGACCTAGGAAATTACAAGTACAGAATACAGTGTGAACTTGTTACCTGGTGTACATATTATATTTTAAAACCTTATCATAATAACTATAAATGTGATTTTTAAAGATTTATTTGAAAAGGGGAGAGAAGGAGAAAAAAGAGAGTAACACAAAGAAAGAGAGGAGAGAGGATGAGGGATATCTCATGCATTGTTTCACCACTCAAATATCCACAGTGGCAGGGCTGAGCAGGGAGGAAGTCAGGAGCCAGGACATTTTTCCAGATCTCCCACCTTGGCACAGGGGCCCAAGTTGTTGGTTCATCTTCTTGTGCTTTCCCAGGCATATTAGCAGGGAGGTGAATGAGAAGTGGAACAGCTGGGACTCAGTCTGGTGCCCATAAGGGATACTGGCAGTCCAGTTGGAGGCACAAGCTTCTACACCCCAGCTGCAACCCCATAACCATATATTTGTATCATTTGCCTAATATCTCTTCATTTTCCTGCTCCCAGTGCATCACAAACACCATCCTGCTCTCTGATGGTGTTAGTTTGACTTTTGTATATTCCACACATAAGTGTGCTCATGTAGTATTTCTTATTTCTGTGTCTTGTTTCACTCATTGTAATGTCCTGTAGTTGCATACTTTCAGATACATCTTGTGACAAGTAGTA